GATGTCGATCTATAGAAATATTTAATTTAAATCATTTTAAGATTATTGGTCGTTGAAAAAGTATGGTAGGCAACACGTTTGTAAACTTTTCTAGACACTCGTTTAATAAAACTCTAGCTCGCAAGCTCGCTCGTGCCTATGATTTGTGATTAAAATGGCTTTTATTAAACTTGATACAAAATGAGTCCCATCATTAAGTAATAACTTTGTTTAATAAAATACTATAAAACATAAAAAAAACATTGTGGAATTTATAAATAAATTTAAATTGCGAACGTACTTCAACAAAAACTTAAATAATTCCCTTTTTTGTATCTTACATTTCTTCATCTTTGCTTTACAGTCACAAAGGATGGAAGAATACCAAGGTAAAGTAAAGTACCAAGTTTCTAATACCTTTTTAAATTTATATTAAAGGTTATGAGGTTACTTATTTCATACTGAATATCTTCATTTTATTCTAAACATCTTAAATTTGTATGTTAAATTTGTACGCATTATAATAATATAAATATTATAACAGTTTAATTTATACAAAAGACGTATTAAATTTCATTAAACCTGTACATAAAATAACAATTACATTATACAAGCATGTAATTATAATTGATTAGAATCACATTAAACTACTCTTCGACGTTTCTTACTCTGAGATGGATTATTATTAATTTCCATCCGGTAATGTATTTGTTTATATGTAAAAAATATTGATTGCTAAAACCTAATCAAATTTTGCAACAAACTATATAAGGAATATTAAATTTAATTTTTATTTTATCGCATATGGGGCAAAATTTGCCAAGTGTACCAGGTGAAAAAAATTTTGTCACCGATTTTGTTTAAACTTTACTTATTTGTTGTTCTTATAACGAAGAATCATAGCATAAATATTTTTTGCTCTAGGATTGTTCATTCAAGAGTTATGGATTATTGAAATTTATCGATTTTTTACTTTTTGGTGAAATCGCTTTTTATTTAAAAATTCATAACTTCTGTTCATCTCTTTATTAAATATTTCAATTTAACCACCTTAAATGATTTTTTCCGTACTTTTCAATGGGCTATACCGTTTTTGCAAAAAAATAAAAATTGCAATTTTTTTTGAAATTTTGCAAAATTTTGCATTTTTTGAAACAATGTGTATTTTTTAATTTTTTTTTAAATAGCATAAAATCCAAGTTTATTATGTTACCTTTGAATAAAAAAAAAATTAGAGTGGGCCCGACATGTAGAAGGGAAGTTTTTCATATTTGAATGCCGCACGGTCTAGCTATCGAATAGCTACTACACTGCCGTATGCGTTTATACCTAGTAGATGCGAGTAAACGAATACAAAATGATAATTTAAAATGTAAAGTTATGTTTAAGTAGTCAATGATGTATTTTAAATATTTACACTGCCGCACGATATAGTTTTTTTATTGTGTATTAGTCATTCGGAGGGGACTTTAAGCCCGCGGTCCGTTCCTACCCCTAACCCGCACAAGCCATTCAGCTGGCTTATGGGACTTCTTAAGAAGTAAGGGTGGAACTAAAAGGGCACTTTTGTATATAAACTGTATTTTTTTGCACAAATTGTTTAAGCATGGGTCTACATAGATTTCGCAAGGAGGGTTTATGATATTAAATAAAAAAATGTATTGTTATAACCGTAAAGGCGCCATTCAGCTTATAGGCAAGCCGTTACGGTTATAACAATAAATTTTTTATTTAATATCATCGATCCTCCTTGCGAAATCTATGTAGACCCATGCTTAAACAATTTGTGCAAAAATACAGTTAAAAAACTATATCGTGCGGCAGTGTAAATATTTAAAATACATCATTGACTACTCAAACATAATTTTACATTTTAAATTATCATTTTGTATTCGTTTACTCGCATCTACTAGGTATAAACGCATACGGCAGTGTAGTAGGTATTCGATGGCTAGACCGTGCGGCATTCAAATATGAAAAACTTCCCTTCTACATGTCGGGCCCACTCTAATTTTTTTTTTTATTCAAAGGTAACATAATAAACTTGGATTTTATGCTATTTTAAAAAAAATTAAAAAATACACATTGTTTCAAAAAATGCAAAATTTTGCAAAATTTCCAAAAAAAATTGCAATTTTTATTTTTTTGCAAAAACGGTATAGCCCATTGAAAAGTACGGAAAAAATCATTTAAGATGGTTAAATTGAAATATTTAATAAAGAGATGAAGAGAAGTTATGAATTTTTAAATAAAAAGCGATTTCACCAAAAAGTAAAAAATCGATAAATTTCAATAATCCATAACTCTTGAATGAACAATCCTAGAGCAAAAAAAATTTATGCTATGATTCTTCGTTATAAGAACAACAAATAAGTAAAGTTTAAACAAAATCGGTGACAAAAATTTTTTCACCTGGTACACTTGGTAAATTTTGCCCCATATAAGATCTCAATTACAAAATTATTGCGGTTATCTTTGGCAATATAAATTGAATTGGTTTATGCGTCCTCCTGAGAAGACCATAAATTAAACAAAAATTTTCATTTTATAGTTGTTTACATAATTATTACAAATATCCCATGTATACATAAACAGTTGCATAAAAGTGCATTACATATTTTTCCCACATAAAACAACTTTACTGGTATGCATATGTTATTGTTACAAACTGATTAAAAATAACAACTCTTGCCTTTGATCAGTAAAAAACACATTATTTAAAATAATTACTAAAATATTGCTTTTTTATAATCAGTTTATAAAAAATTGTTTAAAGGTGTTAATGTGTAGCACACAGGAAATAATTTCCAATCTTTACTGCACTATTATTATTACATTAACTACTAATGATAATTTAAAAAATTATAAAAAAACAAACTATCTATAGAACCAAAATTATACGAACCCATAATTATTATTAGCAAGATAATAAAAGTGTAGTGAATGTACTCTCACTGATCACTAAAATAGTGGGTAGACCACTTTCAATTTTATCTAATTTTATGTGGTACCCTAAATAAATTAAAAATAAAGAATGTTATAATTGACTATGAACATATATAAGTAGTTTTTTTTACACATTATAATATTGATAATATAAATATACAAGATTAATGTTCTTTTAATGAGTTTATATTTGATGAATACATTTTAAAAGATTGATGATTTTATATATGCATTCATGAGTACTTTTCATAATTAATTAAAAAAACTATGCTGTTTTTTGCTATAAATCGATTTATAATGCAAAGAAAGTTATTTATAAAAAAAATTGTACAAACGGGTTAGATAATTTATGGCCTAAGCCGTAAAATTTCTTTATTTATAGACACTACTTTCAATTCAAAAATTTGAATTGTGTTAGATCTATCTAACTCTACTTTAAATAATAATTATTTAACGTTTTATTTATCGTTTAACGGGGGAGTAGGTAGGTAGGAGTAGGTTTAACCCTTCCCAAAATATAAAAAACAGTTGTGTTTTGAGATTTTTCTATAGAATTTTTTTCTACAGAAATTCTAAAAACCTTATGATCTTTATAGTTTTATTGTATTCTTATTTTAAACCATAAAATATTAAATAAAAATTTGTATAATCATTTTATACAAATATTTTAGAAAAAATTAATAATTTTTCATTTTTACGAAGCTATTTAAGTTAAATGATTTCTTGAGGCTTTATATAATTGTGTAAGATTTTTAGATTTATTTTGTACATAAATTACTATATTTATGTAAAAAACTAAAATATTTTGAAGGCAAAAGATTTTATGATGTATTATATAGCTAATATAAGATGCGTTTAAGTTTAATGCTAAATTTAATTAGTTTTGTCAATATAAATTTTATTAATTTTTTTACTTCTTGGTAAACTTTATAACATTATTTTATAAAATCAATTAAAGATAAAAATAAAATATTAATGTTATTTATAGGTTATATATAGGCTTAGAAACAGCAAATGAATATAAAGTAATTTAAACGTTAATATATGGTATTTTTTTTTCATTAAGTTATTCTTTTGGTCGATTAGAGTGTTAGTATTAATTAAAAATAACGTATTAAACCATTACCCAATTTGGTAATTTTTCGCGTTTGTGGCATTATTTTGTCGAATTCTTTAATTTATTTATACTTCTTAGGAGAATAATACTCCAAAAATGAATTATTCAAAAATGACTAATTGTCATAGCGAAAAAGCAGCCACTAATAATTCTTGTCAATATCAATTTGTATTTCGAACATTTAGCAGTCAATTTCAATGTAAAATTGTCCCCTAAATCCGAACATGTCGTCAAAAGTTAAAAAAGTAAAACAGTTTTTGAGATATAGTCAATTTTCCATATAATATGTCTCAAAAACTGCTTCACATTCATAATTTTTGACGGTATTTTTGGATTCGGGGGACAATTTTGCATACAATTGGCTGTTAAATGTTGAGGTGGTTAACCATGATAGTGATAAGGTAGCCACTAATAACTGTCATTTATGACTAATTAATTTTTTAAGAGAACCATAGTTTTATAATGTAATTTCTAGACTATGTTATTCTATGCAAAATTATAGACTCGAATAATGAATGTTAAATAATTTTAGGTAAGGAGATAAGGCTATAAAAGCAAAAGAAAAATTATAATAAATAAAAATTTGATAAAATATAGGCATAATCAAATTAATATTAACGAAACTAAAAAATCATTTTTTAAATATTTTCAATACTTTTTTCTGATTAAAATTTGATTACAATAAAGTTACCTTCAAAAATAACTTTTTAGTTATTAGTTTGGCCTATAATATTGTTATAATTAATTGTAATAACCATTATCTTAGATTTTTATATTTTGTTTTTAAATAAAATTGACATTTTCTTAGTTAAACTAATTGGTGTGTGAAAAAGTGTTTCATTACTGATTAACCTGCTTATAACACACACTTTTTACTGCAAAAAAAAACTAATAAAGTCCATCACTAATGTAACACATTTTCACTACATCCCGAATGATCACAAATGTAAATCCCTACCTTGAGAATCATGTTTCACCAAGTATCCACAAAAAGTCACGAAAAAGTAACAACCAAAAATCACCAAAAACAAAAATTGATAAAACCCCTAATCCGGCACTGCACTGTGTGAATAGGATGCTGCTTTAATAATAACGCCGACTTTTATACTAAAGTGTTTAGTGGGAGATCTTAAGGGGGGACGTCTTTGATACACTATATGTAATGTGTAACATCGCGGTTTATTTTCTTAAATTCTTTCGGTTTTTGAGCTTTTGACAGTTAGCACGTCCAAGAACTGACCTCAGACGGATTCGACTGTCTCATCATCTTAAAGGATAGGTTTCAGTTTTACGACACCAATTATGCATTCATGGGTTTTTAATGATTTACGTAGGCACTAAAGCATTTTATGATTTGTTCGAGGTATTTATTTAATTTTACTTTTAACTGCATTTTTTTATTTGGTAAATAATAATAACCCAATTATTGGTTTTCCTAAACTATTTATTTTGGATTTTTATGGCTTTAAATTTTCATAAATACAATTAAAAATTTATCAATTTTAAGTAAATGAACATGTCTGCCGGTTTTTAAATTAATTTAATACATACAGTGTGACCCATTTGTTTGCGACTCACCCTTGTAAAATCTTTATTTATTGTGCGATTTTAACCGGATTTGTTTTAAAGCGTACTTCTTGGTAAACTGTATTTTTGAAGCAAAAAACGCCATATTTTTACAAAATACAAGGCCCACTATGTCAGTTATTGAGGGTAAATTTTTAACAATACTAATTAGCAATTTTTTTAAAATTCTATTGGCTTCACTGGATTTACCACCCCACAAGAAAAAACGATTTTGTGGGTAAATTAAAAATGGACAATAAATACTATTTACAAAAGTTTATTCTGTCAAAACATTGAAATAAAATTAAACTGAAAGTAACAAGGTATAAATATTCTTATGCTTAGTTTTAACAAATAATAAACGTACGTAAAAGAATTATTAAGTATATTGAAATAAATGGTGAATTAGGAAAGATGACGAAAATCTAATTGTAGACAATTTTTGTTTCATTGTTGTTTTAGTTTTATTTTGGGTTTTTTTATTTGTTAGGTAAAACAAAGCATAAGAATATTTATACCATGTTACTGTTAGTTTAATTTTATTTCAATGTTTTTTCATGGATAACGACAATAAATTTTTGTTAAGTAATTATTGTGATTTTTAATTTGTCTACAAATTCGTTCCTACTTAACATTCTTCAATAAAACTTAGTATAGGGTCGTTTTGAGGGGTGGTGACGCCAGTGCCGTGCCTAGATTTTTTTTAAATCACCAAAATAAATTTTAAATAAAATTATACTGTCAAAAACTCATATAGTAGGCCTTGTATTTTGTAAAATTGTAGCTTTTTTGCTCCGAAAATACAGTTTATCAAGATGTACACTTTAAAACAAATCCAGTTAAAATCGCACAATAAATAAAGTTTGTAGGTCGCAAACAAATGGGCCACACTGTATATACTATACACTATACCTACTTGCAGAAAAGTCTTTTACACAATCAACTGTTGTTATGGCTGTTATTGTTTAAAATGTTAATAACAACAGCCCAAAAGAATTATAAACATTTATTTAAAATATTTATTATAACACGCAAAATGTTTTAAAAAAGTTAAAAATATAAAAAAAACAGTTTTTGAGAATTATCTTAGCACACTGCAAGGTTAAAAAATACCCTAATTAAACCTATTTTTATAGTATGAAGCTGTCGACAAGTCATATACAAAATATAGGTTTTTCAACAAATACTTATTTTAAAAAGTAAAAATTAAAATAATAATAAAATATAATAAAAATTTTATAAATTAACTTTGTTTTACTTTATGTACTTTAAATCTTGATAAGTAAACCTTTGTCAATTTCAATTAAAAAAACTAGAAAAAATATATTTTTTTAATGAAATTATAATTTATAATAATATTTTTATTTATATTTTTTTGAATTACACCTTTTTTAATTTTATAACTACTAAATAATTAAATATTTTTGTAAAAAATTTTAGATATGCAATATTCAGAAAATGTTTTGTGTATAGGTATGTTATCGACAATATAAAAAATCCTTCGAAATGTCTAGATACTCTGCAAATTGACCAAATTACCGGACATTTTGCAAAATTACTTCCATTTTGGGCAATCTGCAACTTTACTACGCCATTTCAGGCAATCTGCAAAATGTCTTATGCGATAGTAAATTGAGGTTTTTACTGCTCACAATGACTGGGCAGTGTGCCCAACACTTTTACTACTGTCGAACTTCACTATTCAGTCAAAGATTCATAATGGCGAGCGGGAAGAAAGGAATATTTTTAGAGAAATTGAATACATTATGCAGCAAAAACCCGACCCAATCCAACCTCACCATTATATAAAAAGCAATTGTTAGTAAATTAATTTTTTATTTGTAGTTTATTTTTTCTAAAAACAAAATTCAATTTTACATTTGTGTCGTAAATTATTGTTGGCACACTGCCTAGTCAATGTGAGATGTAAAAACCTTTAATCCAAGGATTTACTTTCGCATAAGACATTTTGCAGATTGCCTTAAACATCCTAGTAAATTCGAAGATTGCGCAAAATCATTTTGACAAAATGATTTTGCACAGTGTACGGTAAATTGGTCTGTTTGCAGAATATCTAGACATTTCGCACATTGCCGCTTTTTTTTACTTTACCACATATATGAAATATAAGAGATGACATATAAATGTGAGTGTTTTAGGGTTTTAAAGTTCAGATTCAGTTACAGCGGTCGAAAATACATCGGAATATGATTTTCTCGGGGCCTATAAAAGACATAAATAAATAAAATTAAATCAGAAGTTTTCATAAATAAATATATATTTTTTAAAAACCCTGCGTAGTTCTCGCTTAAAGCATTATCCTTTTTTCTTAATATATTAATATCTGAGCACCCTGTGCTGGTTAAAAAATTTTGAATAGAAATCACGTTTTTAAAACCAGCTAAATTTTTTATAATGAATAATTTTTATTTCGTAAATTAGCGTAACAAAAATTCTTTCTTTTGGAAAAAAATTCAGATTTGTTTGGATTCAGTTTTAGCGGTCGCAAATACCTAGGAATATTTTGGCGCAGACCACTTGATTTTTTGCGGGCCTGTGTTATTTAAAATACGTTTTACGCAGATCACACAGATGTCAAAAAAGGCAAAAAAGTCGTTTTTGTTTAAAATGTAAATGTATGTCATATAGGGTGCACTTGGTGTATGTGTCGTACAAGGTCGTTTAAATTAGATTAAATTATATTTAAAAATTGGAAAAAAAATCCTGGAAATTTAAAAAAAAGTAGGTTTCAAGTGTGAAAATACATATTTATCTTCATTTTCATCCAATTTGTATTTTTTTTTCGCCTACTAGTTACCACCACCAACTTTTGTTTTTCATGTGGCCGCCATATTGGAATTTTACATGGTTAGATAGAAAAAAAATCAAGGAATCCGATGTATTAAACATCCCTTTTTTATTTTAATGTTATCGTGAAAATGTCCTTTGATCCTATAAATTAGTTAGTATAGTTCAAAAATGCAGTTTTTTGATAAAATTTCGACTATTTTACAAAATATAAATATAAATGAAAACGTCATAGACGATATTTGATTATGATTGCCCAAATCACATTGGCTATGTGCGCAATGCATTGCCGACGTATTTTATCTCATAAAAATACGCGTCAAACAAGGGAAGTTTGATCTCCTGTCTCTAGTCTTCATGACCGCTACAGACGAGTTCTTTACTTCAACACTAAATTACTACCAGAAGGTTTTGCAAGTCATGGAGTTTTATTTATATTGTGTTGCCTAGGATGGGCAAAAGAGGATATCTGAAAGGGCGGAACATAACAATCGAAAACTAATCTCCGGTATGTAACAGTATATATGTAGTTGCGGTGTCCTACACCGCAGCGCGCCCGCCGCGGCGCGCCGGTTCGTTTAATATATTTATTAAACATGTCAACCTTAGCTCCTTGCATTTTTTACAGTTTTAAATGTATATTATTTTACTTTTTATCATTTTAAAAGCTTTTACTATTTAACTTTAGTCCATTTAAGATGAACACCCCCGTAACTTTTTTATTTGTTACTCGATTTTAATGAACAAAGGCTCAAAAGATAAAGAATAAATAAACTGTATATACAATAAAAAAATCAACTCTAAGCAACACTAATTAGAGTTCACACAGGTCCACATTAAATAGTGTTGTTTTATAACACTACACAGAAAAAAAAAGTACATAATATTAATGTATTTTAATATTGTGACAATGTATGCGCACATTAAAATAGAGCCGATGCACAAATACATTATTATAATGTAAATGTTTCATTAATGCATTACAAATTACATTGAACAATGAAGAGTACATTGATATAATGTAACAGTATTTATTGGTCAATGTATGTCATACATTTATAGTATGTACCTTATTCATTCATATAATGTACCCTGTACATTGATATAATGCATCTTGTACATTGATATAATGTACCATGTACATTGATATAATGTACCCTGTACATTGATATAATGTACCCTCTACATTGATATAATGCACCCTGTACATTGATATAATGTACCATGTACATTGATATAACTATATATTGTTATAATTGACTGTGCGTTCCACGAAAGATTGGCGGTCTTAGGAATGTGATGCAATCCTTTATTTCTATATAACGGCCAACTTTTAATTATAATAATAATGCTAGGGTTTTCCATATATTTGCAGCCGTTGCAGGCAAACTTATGCAATAAACCATATCCCGATATCAATAAAGAGTTGGCCGTTATACAGAAATGAAGAATTGCATCACATTCCTAAGACCGCCAATCTTTTGTGAAACGCACTGTATAGGGTGTTTTTGGATGAGGAAAAAAACACATTTTTATACATATTAGATTTTTTATTTAAATACTCTTTTAATAAATGAACTTTACCAAAATTGTTTGTCGTTTTAAATAAAAAAAGGTTTCTAAGAAATTATAAATCATTACTGATTCGGGCGGAAAATCTAAATTAAACAAATAAATAC